GCAGTACTTTTCAAGAACTACATTTTGCTAAGATATTTGTATGTAAGTGTAACGATTATAGTCAAGTGAAACATAACTTATAGTTTGTGTATATGCTAAGTGTAATTGGTGATGTGAAAACACTAAATCAAACACTAATGCCAAAGTATTGCTTCCTCCATTATATTCTCACTTAAATCTTGTTACTGATACCCTGTATTACTAATCCAATGTGACATTTTACCTCTCCAGAACACAAATGACCACTGCGTTATTTATATCACAACGAAACAAACGGGTGTATTTCGTGATGTATGAAAGTAGTGATGTAGTGTATATCTGTATTTATAAGGACAGAAATGACTGGCTTTGTGATAACCTCGGTTATGAGCGATAAACTCGGCTTCACCATTAGTTCAAAAAGTGTTAGTAGGATGCATCTATGTTGACGTTTTTTATTAGTGAAAGGTTACCTCCCTAATTGACGTACCCTTATATCTTATGTCATGTCTGCATGTATGTAGTGTAGCTAATGTTTCGATCCCTTAAAGAAATGAAGGTAAAGTTGGTAAAAACAATCTGATAAAGATTTGTGAATACCTAATTTCCCATTAGGTGGACACGGGACAGTGTCCTCTATATGTTGAATTGATGTCTCTCCTCGAGATAGAAAAGAATTATTCTCTCTACAAATTAAGAAATGTGTAGCTTAAGGTATTTAGCTTAGAAAAAAATTTGCAGCTGGTAGCTAGAAATCAGACACTAGATATACAGAATGTCCTGTTTTAATTTTTTGTGAAACAAGGAACACATACGGTTAGAAGAGTTACAAAGATTTTCACATCACAAACATCCTACTGGTTTTGGTCTTAGTAGTATCAAGGAAAGTACTGAAATGTGTTATTTGCACTGGGATTTTAGGTTTGTTGCTCTGTCTCATGAACACTTTCAAACTGTTCTGATGTAATAACTATCAACGATTATGAAGCCTAAAAATACTATACTAACGGAACAAAATAAGCAAGCTCTTGGTCAATCATAGCGTTACTGATAGCAAGCTTATAGCAATAAAGCTTACTGGCTAATCGTTTATGCAAGGCTTTTATCATCCTGTCCTACAGTGTACTATGGATAAACGCGGTAATGTACTCACATTTATCTTTCTATTTCCGTCGCAATACTTAGTTGACTTTTCTCTCGTACTGGTAAAGTTTCTCGCTTGGAATAGGATTTGTCTAATAAGAGAAGAGATCTTCGAGTAGTAAAATTACAGAAGAACAACTATGTCATCAATTATGTTTCATTAGGATCTTATGTTTAAAAAGATTTCCGTGGATTCAGAGAGTGCTTCTAACTCTGAAAGACTTCAGAATAACTGAGAGGATCGGTACTAGGCAATACATGTATGTCGTCGAATAACGAAAGAATATCAACATACCAAATCAAAGAGCTTGCTGATTGAGAAGTATTATACGAAGCCTCAGGCACGTGTAGATATCTGAATGGTATTGGCTCTTGAATCTTCACCTCATACATTTAATTTCAATATATCAATCGGATTACCAACCGATATGATGCGGATTGTAGTATTTGATCCCTTATGCTAGTTTTGGTGCTTAGAAACAAGGCTTTCCGAATGAATTATCATATTCTACCATGACTAGGTAGTAAATTCACTACATTGAACTGTATGAATCAAAACAAAAGAATAGTCTTGAAAGTTACTCCTTTCCTGTTGGTGATATGACCCATCACAATCTTTGAAATACTTCAGATCCGTAAAATATCCTGAATTTTATGTAAATGACATAACTCGGTAGAACACTTCTGAAACAAACAACCAGCTGTCTGCTTAAATTGAGACTACTACGAGTACTTCTGTTTCTTAAACGTTCGTTTGCTTATATATATATATATAATATCGAAAGTTTTATTTGTTCACATTTCATATATTATTCCATAGTCTTTTGATAAGCACTAACAACTGGATTGTAGTAATCGTGATTATTCACAGACTAATCCGTGTACACATTGGAATTCTATCAGGAACCAGTAAAACAAATAATATATACAATGAGTTCAATCGCTTAAATTTGTGAATAACATATTCAAACTGTAACTTTTCTGATTTTAATAATCATGGTGATAGATTAAGACTGTAGTTGCAACATGTTTCTTTTGTGGTTAGAAAAATGTTCTTATGATAGCGAAAATGATCAGATACGGTTGTTTACTGCCACTCCGATAGACAGTTAACAATCCAATTGAACATACAGATCTTAAATAACAAAGTTCATCATACACACACATCACATATATTTGTAGAATGTTCATATACATGAAACACTATGATACGTTAGTACTAGTAATCGCTTCATTAATTTTAATGTGATGGAATATAATTCGTTCCTCATTATAGTACAGTAGTTACTATCATTATCAATGTAATCATTTAAGTGTTTGAAATAATTCCTCAACTTCTTTCCTAGCCTATAAATGATTAAAGATATATATGTTTACAAACATGTAGTAGAAAATAATGTGGTAAACGTTATTCGAGATAATATAAACAATACATTGATTACCCTATTACATATCAACGATGAACAAACTGCAATACAGAGGACAAATGATCCCCGTAAGTTCATCTACTAAATGTGTGTAAATGCAGTCAGAAATTATGCCAAATCAATGACTCTCCATATTTGAATCTTAGGAAATTGAGTGTGAAATTTAACTTAACCCACTACCCAAGTAGACTGAAGGACCTAAATGTGGCTATTTCCCGACATTAGGCGTACAAACAGTTTTTCGGAAATGTGTCTAGTAAAACGATTACTGAAGTCATATTATTAAAAGTGAATTGTTGTGACTTTCCAAAGCTTTTGTGTAATAATTTAATTTTCCGCCAGTTTCATTTTGTTTTGACACAAGTATATATGATCGTACCTTACAGATGGAAATAATAAACTTGTAAGGTGACTACAGTTTGGTTGAAAAAGTGCCATATTGATTGAATTCTATTCGCTTGTCACAAAGGAAACATTCCATAAGTCTATGTGTGAAAGCTTCGCTTCTTGGAGTCGGTTTACATGTATGAGCAACTATTTCCATGTGTGAACTTGAACATATCCAAGTCTAGATCTCGACTAACAGATACAAATCTAGAGTGATTGTTGCTCATGAGGACAATTAAAATGACTCCTAATTACACTGTGATGACTAAAACTGTGCACAGTTGAATTCATACTATTAATAAACCCGGCGTCAGTAACACCTAAGATTGGGTAAGTAAATGTTACTTCATCAATTTATTGTACATCACAGTATCTCGTACGTGCAGCCAACCGAATGTGTTATATGGGTTCATCTAGCCGTTTAGCAGATATGCTTATCAACCTCTATGATAAAGGGTTGGCTGAAACTGTTAGTGAGCCGTCCACCTAGATTTTATGCTAGTTGTCACCCGTTAACAAAGCGTATTTGCATCTAATAGGTGACGTTAGTGACTGTGATACTGAATGATACTCGTTCAAATTTCATGGGCACCGTCAGTTCCCTGATGAGTCCAAATCTACATTGCTAGGGGGTTTCAACTAACAGATGACCTGGTTCAAGAGCCCCTTGGTGATTATCTTCAACTACCGGATAATAATCACCATCCAATTCAATGCCAATACACTTGATTTAGTTGCGTCATAAATATAACTAGGTCACCAGTACATATTCATATATATACATGGCATTCATATACTTACCTCATCGGCTTCGACATGATGTGCAGGATAATTAAGTACTTTAAGAGCATAATCTTTCGCTTTGTCTTTTTCTCCTAGTCGTGCATAACATTTAGCCAAATGTGCCAGTGTTATTACAGATCTCATAGGAGCCACTCCATGTTTTAATTTAAAAAAGAATGAAATCAATGAGAATTTGTGTTATTCATTTATCGAAAAGATTATAAACATTTTTTATGTGCGCATATCTATACTCTACTTACATTCTTCACATTTCAGCATATGTTTTAATGCCTACATACAAATAATGGGTTTTTATTGAGAATTTACTCATTACATACCAATTCATAAGAGAATTCCTTCCCAGTATACTTTGTACCTTTAAAAAGTTCTGGTTTTGTAGTGTATACATCTGTCATAATAAAATACCTTGTATGGATGTAAGAAAATATTTCAAGTGCAACTACTTACCATATGCCTAAACTACCCTCAGTTAAAAAGTTATTCGGATCAAGTTTTTGTGATTTCTTTAATTTCCATCGATTTTCGAATGAATAATTAACATGTCAACTTACAATCCATATGTCATATAACTGTGAGACATTCTTGAATCTTTCTGAGAAACCTTGCAAATTACTGTGTTCATCCCATAAGATACCATACCACTGAATAGATTTGGTGAATAAATAAATGACTTATATAAATGTAATGAAATTTCAAAATACCGTTAAGGAATTAGCATGATTAGGGTTTTTCTCCATAGCCTTTTTAGCTGCATTCATCCCCTCTGAGAAATATGTTTCACAGAATGCTTTACTTGGTTTATTTGTGACATAATAAACTAGTAGCAAGAATAATAATAATTAGTATTATTAACAAAATTTCGCATCATAATGACATAAAGCAAGAACATTACCACAAAGATAACATGCTTGAGCGAATCTCCATAATAATTCAACATCATCGTAATTTTTCAATGAAGCTTTGAGATAATGATAAACTTTGTGAAATTGACCTTGTGCAACTAACTTATCAGCTTCTTTAATAATATCTTCCATTGGCGTTTTATGTGTATTTTCTAAATGAGATATTCTAAAACTATGCAGAAAAATACGAATCCAAATAATTTTAAATTATCTTTCTACTGACCAATTGTAATTAACTAATAGTTTCAAAGCTAATCAGCCAGTCACAACTCTAAAGAGAATTCCAAATCACACAATTATTTAAATATAGTAGTGATTTGATTGACTGATGTTTGTTATTTCAATATATTATCATACTGATGCGTATATAAGGATTTCGACAAATCACAATTTAAATGGATTTTTGTTTTAATTACTTTCACCTATATTCAAGCCGAATGATATTAAATATCGATAGAACAATGAGGAGACGGAGTTGATCTGAAAAATGTGATGTATTTGTGCTATACATTTCGAACAGTCTGGTCACACATATACTTGTCAGGATATTTTTATATGAAAATACTAAAGGTCAAACAAATAAAAGTTCCATTAAATACATCAAGCAAATACATCGCATTTTTCAGATCAACTCCGTCTTCTCATTGTTCTATCGAAATTTATAAAAGGGACTAATTGCTTTAAAGATATTAAATATGTTTATATAGTTTGACATTGCATATATAATTATGTTTTAACAATGAACTTACTAATAATTAACGTCACATTGCAAAGATTTGAGAAAATACATTTAAATATCGTGACCTGGTTGTTTCAGATTAATTTTTCAAAGGTATAGTTTAAACAATTGTCCATAGGTCAACATCGCTGCGTTGTTTAATTGAGTCAGTCGGTCAATATGCTTTTAAACTATGCTACATGTAAGATGCATTTTCTGATAATCAACAAATGAAGTAAATGTTATTGCTTGACTATTTTATGCCGGTCATTTGTGTTTTAGCGGCCCGTGGATCTGACTCCAATTAGATCGTATGAATGTTTGTTATCGCCTATCCTCGTATATAATCATCGACTTAAACCGCGTTAGTCAATAACGGAATTGAATAAGTCGAATAACGAGAATGGCCTTGTGAATACATATATTTTGTATATAAAACGAATGGAATAGAGAGAAGAGAAACGACGCAGAGTGGAGATGGCTGGTAAGCCAACACCCATTCAACCAAGCGTTAATCAATATTTATAGTTACACAAAAGTAAGTTACAGATATGTGATGAGTAATGGGATAAGAAATGTACTCCAGAATTCTACTTACTATCACATAATGATGATCGTCTTCTCACTGTTTCACGCAATAACCGCTCTTTCTATTTCAAGATGAAACGTATAATTTCAATCTCACATCTTGAAGTTCACCGACAATGATTAGCTCTGTATTAAACCAACTTCACTAATGTCAATAGAATATTTCTTAACACTTTATTATTACATGTAAAACTCAGGAGACTTCAATTTACTAGCTAAATTCGATGTGTCGACTACATTCTGGCTGCTTTACATGTGAAAATCGAACAACTCATGATTTAGATCCTTTGAATGAAACATGCAATTATTCTTGAAGAGCGCTCACGAGTTATTTCATATTGTTTGATATATAAATACAATTACGTCACAGTTGTAATTAAAATAAAATTCGGGATACGTTGAAGTCATTTCGAGTGAATTGAATGGAAAAAGCACTTTTCCATATGTTGAACAGTTGGTTTCACGTTCATAGAAGACGGTATCTCGCTTTCATTTCCATCCTATAAAACGCGTTTACTAAAACGTATAACTAAAATTCCTCTCAAATAGCAGTGTAAAAATATGTATGGTGACTTGTATTATTGAATGGTTTAACTTTGTTGTGAATGTGCACTGGAAACAATACTTAAGTCAACGTTGAAACTCTGTTCATGAAAGTTCAGAATAGGAGATTGATTTGAATGCAAGAAAATTTATAACCTAAACTCTAAAGTATTTACTATCGTTGTTCGTACTAAAACTACTTAGTATTTAACAAAATAATAATTGGCAAGATGAAGTATGTCCCTCTTGACTCTATGATTGTCTGGTGACTTAATGACCTGTAAAATATTACGGTTCACAAGTAAAACATTTTAAATGAACCGAATGGGTAGATTAAATATTTATTATCAGTAATCTCTAGAAAAGAAACACCTAGTGGTTTCGCGATATCTTTTACAGCAGATCTGCTAAGCTCAGGTGTGTTATGCATACAGATAACAATGAAGATGTATATATATCTTTTACCATTCAGTGATGTCAGGAAATTATCATACCGAAACAAAGTCGAAAGTGAATATGAATGCTTTCAGCTGATAATGAATAATGATCACTATCTATCGCGAAACTAAGCAAAATGAGCAAACGTGTACCTCTCAAACTTGAACATTTCGATTCTGAGCAGACGAATCCGAATTCAAAAGATATAAGTTCTCAGTAAATCAAGATTATCAGTATTTATTCCTTGACATTATTAAATATTCATTTTTGGCTTAATTCACAGTCCTGATTTATTATTTAATTTGGGTGCCAAATAAAAATTGTTCACTTTCTGAACAATAATATTTTAGGACACATACAGTTTAAATATTTTCCGTGCTACACTTAATTCATAATCCTATGTTCATGAATATTTGAACTAAATGAATGGTACGTTTTAAAAATGTTGAAATTTTACTTTTCACCCATTATGTTTTCTACAAATAAATAAACAACCTTAAATTACATCATATAAAGTCTAACTCCATCTATTAATCATAGGACATAAAAACATATTTTTAATCAGTATGGGGAGATTTGTGATGATTGTCGAATTATTATGTTATAGATCGCGAACGGATCTTATCTATACCACTAGTACGAACGTTAAAATACTATGATGACTGTTTATTCCCAGCAAAAGATTCTTCTGGAGGGGATCCGACCTCTGGGTCCGGGTCGTGAATGCCTACAGCTGAGAAGTTTCTTACTAGGACGAAATGACCATCCAGTGCTTCCAGGTTTTCACTCGTGATCTAACTAAGACCAACTCTGGATTTAAACTACAGACATTATTAATCATTGATTAATATTTGACATAACCGATAAAAAACGGTTTAGTCAATGTTACCAATGTTTCATTATGTCAAACAAATCGCAGTAAAGATAAATGTTAGTAGAAAGTATCTGCTTACACTTTTGTTTACCATTTACCAGTAACAGTTATTTTTTATTGTAAGTGTTAAACACCAATTGAATGTGCAACTATCCTATCTGATTCACATTCCTGTTATGTATGGAGTGCTCGATTCCGTTATATAAAAGGTTAACAGTACAAAGTTTTAATGACTGACACAGAAATATAGTATTTTATTCAGTGGTGTTACCAATTATATCATTCACGAATAGTTGAAATAACATAATTGTTTGGCCTACCCAACAGCTATGATATGAGTCCGTCGGTTCGCTACCGTAAAAGAATTGCTTATAGATGAAAAAATCAATTGTTGTGTCCTGAAGGTTACGTATACATCCAAAATATTATCAGTTCTCAAAACCAACAGATCGAATTATTTTACAATCGTAGTTAACCATTCATAAATAACAGTGAGAGAAATCTGTATCATGTTGCTCCACTTAGACGTATACTGCAACTTCTACTAACTCCAACTGTATAGTATCCAGCATTTTTGGTTACAGGTTTATTGATTTACAGCTTAACCACCGGATTCCGGAGTGCACTTTATAATAACATTTTCTTTCTGAACCTTGATTTACATGGATATTTGCGTTTTTACTCCTATATTTTGATATTTCGGCCAGTGCTTCAGGTTCGTTCCTACTAGCTTTCAGTGATATTGGAAGCTAAAGAGGATCCATAAGCTTAATCGTTAGTAAACCCTTATTAACATTAATTTCATTTTGACAAGTTTCTAGACTATATTTTTTCAGTAATTTGTTGGCATTCAAGCAAGATGCCTACTTAATTCATTATTAACTTATAAATCTTTTTAATCGCCAAAATATTGGGCAATTTTCTGACTGAACGTTCTATTTAGACTCAGTTCATGGTTCACATTATATCGACCACCAAGAGATAGACAATTTGAGTTGATTCAATATCCTTGTATCTATTGACAAATTTGAAAAAATCAAATAAATACTTCTGTCAAATAAGGTGAAACTTGTATAATAACAACATGATTTCTCTTAACTAAAATCTAAACTAACTCATTATTTTGTTTTCAAGAGAGATGTATTACAATGAAGTATACATATTTTAAAAGGTCTGTAAAGTATCATTTGACTTTCGTACATTTAATATGTTATCATGTGCTCTTTTTTCTGTATTTTTATCTGTATATATGTATGTAATGTTTATGCGCTACATAGTTTGAAGTTAATTTCTATCTAAGTAAAGTACCAAATAAAATTTTACTGAAGTTTAGAATATCATGTAATTACTAAACTATTCTCTTGTGTAATTGGCTTGCAGAAAAAAAATACAATATATTTATTATTACATACAACAATGATTCAAAAATCATATTGTGAGTAGCAAATATGGTGACAACTAAAGTGTACCATTGAATGTGATGTTGTTTTTTTTCAAATTGATTCATTAAAGTTAAGGAAAAAACATTCTAAAGTGATTAACTAGCTATTTGTGTATTCAAGCCAACATAAATGACATAACTTAATTTAATAATTATCAATTAGAATGTAGTACTGTAAATCTACATTTTTATTGATTGACTATTGTTCATTTGAATAAATCAACTTATTGATTATAATGAGACACTTCTCAAGTATTAGATAACTATAATCATGTCCTAAGCAAAGATGGATAGTGGATAGCAGTAGAATCCAGGACTCGCGTTTCGTCCCACTTAAGACTCGTCAGCTGGATGTACCTGCATCTCAGAATTGAAGTTCACTCTGGCGTGTGCTACTGTGGTGTATATCACCAGTTGAGAGTGAAACGTCTGACGGCAGAAGGTTAAAAAGATCGGAAAAAAAGAGGACGAGAATAGAGAGTGATTGGTTTGGAAACAAAAGAACAATGAAGTCTGAGACAGTTGACTGACATTTCCCAAATGAAAAGTTCGCTGTAGCGTTCTCAGATTTTTCTAAGGGGTTCTG